TCAGTACAGCAGTGTCGTTCGTGTCTTTTGGCTACCTAAGGTTCTCTATCTGACCAGTTTTTTTTTACTGGTGTTGCGCAAATATATTTTGGAAACTGTACTTTTATCTATTGCTTCAGTTGTTTTCTAAAACCATGTATGGAGAGAACTTGATTGCATCATGTATAGTGATGAATTATCTTTGTTATTGCAGTCTAATCAACCTCATACCTTCGTTATTGTGACTCTTGACCCGCCTATTAGGAAAGGTCAAACTTTGTATCCCCATATTGTGATGCAGGTAATAATTAGTAAAATCATCAGAAGTTAAAGCACAATTTTCTGAGTATTTTAAGCAATCATTTTTTTTCTTCTTAATTTCAGTTTGAGACCGATGCTGTGATAGACACCACCTTATCAATGAGTGACGAGCTTTATAATACCAGGTACAAGGACAAGCTCCAGCCAGAACATAAGGTAGATAATACTCCCAGTTGCAAACTTTAGAAATGTGGATTTACTAGTTTGGTCATGTTTATCTGACTGAAGAAATTCTTGTATTTGCACAATGGCAGTCCTATTAACATAGGTACTGCCTTTCCAATGTTTCTTGAATTGCTAGACCTATTTTTAGATGTTATCCCGCTGAAACTGAAGCTAAAAACTTAATCTTGATGTGATTGATCTTCACTTATCAGGGACTGATCCACGAAATCTTCATTACAATTCTGCGTGGTTTGTCTGGTGCTAAAGTTACGAAACCAGGGAAGTTCCGTAGCAGTCAGGATGGTTACGCTGTGAAATCATCTCTTAAAGCTGAAGATGGAGTTCTTTATCCACTTGAAAAGAGCTTTTTCTTTTTACCCAAACCACCCACTCTCATTCTGCATGAGGAGGTACAATATTTACATACTTTTTATGAAGCCTATGAATGCTGTTTTTGGCTGTACGAACTACGACTCAAGGAATTAATTATTAACACCTGAACTTTTTTTTTTTGCCTATTTATTTAGATCGACTATGTGGAGTTTCAGAGGCATACTGCTGGGGGTTCGAATATGCATTACTTTGATCTTCTCATCAGGCTCAAGACCGAGCAGGAGCACCTTTTCCGAAATATTCAGAGAAATGAATACCACAATCTCTTTACTTTTGTCAAGTTAGTATATATATCTCTTGCCTAAAGTTTACTTCATTTCTCTTTTAAAAGACCTATAAGTGAGCATCGAAGCTGGTGTACTATTGTTGCAGAGAAAAAGGTCTCAAGATTATGAACTTGAATTTGGGTGGCCTTCAGACTACTGAAGGAGTTGCGGCTGTTCTCCAGAATAATATCGATGACCCTGTGGATTATCATCTCGAAATAATCAAGAATGCAGCTATTGACGCTGACGAGAGTGATGAAGAGGTGTATATATATATATATAATCACTTTTTTTTGGGGGGCTGTTGGAAATATTTTTGAATAGCTGTTATCAGTTAATATCAGATGGGAAAAGTTATAAAATAAGTACTAGGAGTAAAATTGGATTCACATGACCCTATAATATAGACACTTCTAATTTAGGAATATAGAACAATAACAAGTATTTTTTTTATATTCAGTTTACTGTAATGTTTTGTTATCGATGCAGGATGAAGATTTTGTTGCTGAGAAAGACGATGAAGGCTCCCCGACTGATGACTCTGGAGGAGAATCTAATGCTAGTGACAGTGGAGAGGAGAAAGAGGTCAGATTACCCGTTACACTTATGTTCATCTTCATTAATTCAGTCCCCACTAATATTTATGTAACTAAAGGATACATAATATATGTGATGGTGATTTTTCAGGCTCCTATGAAGAAGAAAACGAAAAAGGAGCCTTCGACTTCGAAACCATCAGCGAGCAGGAAAAAGGGCAAAGATGGTGAAGATGACGGGTCGAAGAAGAAGAAACCTAAGAAGAAGAAAGATCCAAACGCGCCAAAGAGGGCAATTAGTGCCTTTATGTTCTTTTCCCAAATCGAAAGAGAGGTTTTGCATTCTCTCAAGCATCCTGTTCTATTTTTCCTTTTATTTTTTTTAAACTAAAAATAAAAATAAAATTGTTTATGCAGAATATAAGGAAGACAAATCCGGGAATTTCTTTCACGGACGTGGGGAAAATGCTTGGCGAGCGTTGGAACAAAATGACGCCCGAGGAGAAAGCTCCATACGAAGCGAAAGCACGAGCAGACAAAAAACGTTATTCGGATGAGCTCAGTGGCTATAATAAGAATCCACAGACCGCAAATGCTGACTCGGCTGATGAGTCTGACGGTGCTTAACCATTGTTTGTCTGCTTTTCTTCTTCGTCCCGAGTGTTTTGAGTAGAGATGTAATGGTGTGGATTGAAATTGAACAATTTGCTGCTAAGCTGTATGAATTGTGGCCCATGCATTGACTCATTCACTGTTAAAGGATTTGTAGTTTAATTAGTTATTATAATAGCAGGTTAAAAGAGAGGAGATTGTGCCCTCATCATTATTTCAGTATTGATGAGGGGTATTCATTGCAAATGGTTCTCTTGTTTTGAAAATGTTCTTTACGAGGTTATAGATAAATTATATTTATAATTTTATATTGATAACAAAGTAAAACTGGTAAGTTAGTTCTGTTGGCAAATTTGTTGGTGTCTAACAATCAAATTGTCATCAGCTTGGAGTTTTTTATACAAGCACAATAGATTTCTAAACAATATAACTGTTAACCAATATTCATCTATATCACCACAGATGGCAATAATCTCAAACGACAAAGGGATTGTAAATGGAAATATAATCCGCTCCCTAATTTAAACTGCGGGCGAACAAAGTAATGCAAAAGGCAAAATTTCAATCTGGTGTAGCATCCGCAGACAATCAGCATCTTTGTTTATCTATTTTCAAATGTTGCAAATGGCTCTTAAAGTTGAAGGAACAGCTAACTTGTTAATGTAAATGTAGGTCTTATGGAGATTGGAGATATTTTAAGCTCCTTGACATTTTTTGAGCAAGGGGAACAATAATTAGTTGACATGCTTTTATTTTTCTTGTTTTTATTATACTAATAATTTTTAACTTAATTTTGTGTGAGACGTCCAACTGTTTTTAACAAAAATGCATACTTATGTTACATAATTCCCCCTATATATTAATTGAGAACGTGCTGAGCCTATGTGGCAGGCTCGCATGCTTTGGAATCCTATGTGGCAAAAATACATGCTTCGTTATTAGGCTTGGATAGATTTAGTTTACTTCTAATCCAAATATATTTAGGTTCGGATTATCTATAATATGTTGATTATTTATGGTAGGAGCGGGCGCCGGCCGGGACGGTGCTGAATTTGACTTGTCCGGATACCCATCCCACTTTTATGAATCCGTTCATGAACGATCCGGGATGAGGCACCGTCCCTACTCATGTAATACATGGGTGTTGTACTAGTGTTATACTTATTATTAAACTATTGTTTAGAGTATAACATTTCAATTAGTTGTTGAAAATGTATCATTGTCTGATTGTTGGTAATGACTACCAATACTCTTTTATTTTTATTTTTATTTTATTTTTTAATTTGCTTGTTAGATTCTTATATTATATCTATAGGTCGAATCAGACAACTATGTATGGCCAGAACTATTCCTTTCTTCTACTATACCAACATATGGGTATGGGAATCAATGTATATAAGCTGTACTATGTCTGCACACGCTTTTAAATGTCCATGAATTAGTACATTTTTCTCCTCTTTGTAGTACTGTAATTTCAAGTAAGGTAAGATTGTAAAACATCTTTATTAATTGGGGCATATGACAAATATATTCCAATTAATTTCTGCATTTACTTGATGTATAATCTTGATAGAAATCAAGTATAGTGGTCAAAACACATGAAAAAATATCCAATAAGTAATAATAGAAGAAAATGTCCACTAATTCATAACTCATGCATTGGATAAAATGTTTGCAGTTTAATTAGATAAGAATATATTTCTTGAAATTGTGGAAGTTGTTGCACCAATTGTCATTTATTTTGCAAATTTAATTCAGATAAGCAAGTAGTACACGTTGTTACTACTTGGCTAACAAACCCGACTAAGGTTCTATTGGCTAGCAATATCATTTGTGACGAGGAAAAATAAGAATATATAGGAGCTTGAAGTTGAAACACCTTGACTTTTTCTGTCAAAAATTTCAAACTTTAGACACCAAATCTCCACAACACTTATTCTCATACTTTTGACATATATAGCAAATGCTTTCTTCACTGTTGTACTAAAGTTTTCTCACTTACTTTCCTTGCAATTAATGCACTTCTTTATTCCTCA